AGGTGAAATAAAACTATCTTCGTCGTATTGGGCCATGCAAGCAGCAGGATGGAAAACATGAGGCAACTTTTGTAAAATAAATATCCATTTCTTCATAATATTTGTTCTTTCATTCGGAATTCTATCTCCTAGATGATTATCGAGATTGTTCAACGCGAAAACAATCACTTGGGAAAAACCAAGAAGAAGTGAGCCTACATTAGGGGATATTGTTTTCCTTTATTAGGACAATTTCAAAGTTTTATTATGATTATTTGTTGACCGAACCCGCTTCGAAAAATAGTGCGTGTATCTTAGACGAGTCAAGCGTTGGCCCAGTGTTCAAATCGCTTGAGCATTTTCCATTCCGAATTTCCCATATGGCGCACCGCTCCACAACTAATCTTGTGATTCTCTACCAACATTTAGGCAGCATCGGATTCGGAACCTATCCTCNAAAATCACACAACCGATCGGGTTCATTTATTCATTGGTCACATGGTTCAGCCGCAACAAGAGACCTGGTGCTCGCCCAGCTAACCCGAGAGAGAAACCACACCTTGTTTACATCTGCACGTCTCCGGCAGGCCCAGTCAACTTCGACTGTTAAGCAGGTGTGTCATCAGCACTCGGATGGACTGGACGTAACAACAAGAGCATTACAAAACTTGCGAGCCGGTTATCAGACAGTCTCGTGTTGAGGTAAGGGATTCCAAGTGCCGCAGATAGCTGAATATGATCCAATCAGGATCAGAGGGAATTTACTTGTTTTTTTATGCCTACCAACCTCGCGACGATGATGAACCAAGCAAGCCTAGAATATTCCGCTCCATTCAGTTTACAGTTTGCGAAATACACTGAAACAATTTGAACAAAGACGTCCCATTTTACAGAAGCGCAAGCCAGTTCAAGCTCACCTGTCGCTTTGCTAAATCCGAAATAAATGCACGCATTCAGGTGAATCAACACCAGGATATTCATGGTCAGTGTGGAAATTCGAAATAGGTACGGTCGAGTTGTTCTCGTTTCGGTTCTATCAATAAATTCGAACAGACGATAGATTTTCAGAAGCCGATTGAATCGCAACCAAGCTGCATGATGTCCCAGTTCCGGAATCAAATAGAACAAATCTGTCGGCACGATTGCCAACACATCCGCATAGATTTCTCGTCTTTTCGAATAGGCTCTGCGAAGTTGATCGATATCTTTGACCAATAAACCTTGCTCCAGGAATCCTTTTGTTTGATGAACGATCATGCAAGTAGAGAACAACGGTGATCATCGATATCAACGCATAATTGGAGCATAACACATTTGTTTGATTCATCAAATCACGAAGTATGCTCATTGATTAAGAACACTCAATGTAGACGAATATATGCTTTCGATTAATTACTTTCATATTCCTTTTTATGTAAATGTGATTGTAAAGGCTCGAGAGGGAATTCACTGAAAACGTGTTCGCCTAAATTGTGTAGTGTAATTATCAGAAAAATGCATGCGAAAATCACGTCTAACTAAAACGTGTCGGAGACGGTATTTCTAATATTAACATAGTAAATAGCTAAGTGGATCATGAGAAACAGAACTAATTTAAAAAGTATTCCAATAGTCTATGTTCATTCCGGCTCACTTTTAATGTGTTTACCTCATCGCAAGATACTTTCAACAAAAGGGATATGTCACAGAAATTTTTCGCTCTGTTCGCTCGAACATCTTTGAGCCTTAAAACATGGAAGTTGTCCTATCTTTGTTGCATTCTTAAAAGTAAAATTAACTCATTCTTTCTGACCCGAAAACGGGTTGTTTTTGAAGTTTTATTTGAAGCAAGCTTAGTCGGATAAACGAGGTTGGCACCTTAACCAACAAACACTTTATTCTGTATTTCGTTTGTTATTGATCCAAATTGTATGTAATCATTCCGCACCCACTTGACATCATCAAAGTGATACCGGCCCCCGCAAGTACCCCATCCCCCCATACCACTGAAAAAGGTTTGGGAGTCTACAATTTAGTTGTGTATTTTCAATCTTATTGAAATAACCAACAGAAAATTTCATCAAATGATATCCAAAAAATATTTTCTTTAATAAAAAGTTACTCAGGGATTGATTTATCGGAAAGTGAATCCCATGCACTAGTACCTCCTTTAATTCCATTTGTGTAATGAGAAATGGATTGGAAGTTAAACTGTTCATCTTTTACGGTTAGCTCCTCATATGTACTATGCAATTTTACACCTACATTGTGTACTCAGTTGTGGGAAGAACTCAGAATGCAGGTAACTCATTTAAACTGGTGCGAATAATCATCACAGCAATCACGTAGATGAAGAAGCACGTGAACCAATAGGAGTGAAAATCCGCAAGAGCATGTATTTCGGACAACCGAGATGCATTCATTCAGAGAAGTTTATGGTCAGCAACGAATTGTCAGTGTGGATAGCAGAGACAAACCAATCATGAAATAGATTAGGTCTGTGTGACACGCATGCAGGGGTGTTCGCAGTCAGTATCGACCAAGCAATTTGTAACGTCATAGAAGCTTGTAATCAGCGAGCTTTGATCCCCTAAGTGATTGATAGTTATTTCGGTCATTTTGACCTCATTTGAAAACAAGTCCTCAAAACAAATATCCCTTGTTACCTGTGCTATTCTTAAAAATTGCAACTATTCCTCTCTAACTGATCTCCGCCACCCCAAACCACACGATTAGTTTCCGAATCGCACGAAATCACAAAATTATTATGAATCAACCCTGCTTATCAGCCGAGGATACGACACTATACACTGAATAGGTCCCTCAAGCTTTTAACGAAGGCTTACTTTGCTAGGCGACTTAGTTTTTCCAAGGAAGGGAGCTTGAAACTAACCTATTTCTTCAAGTTCACAATGAGCAGTTTGAAACTAATCTTTTCTTATTAAGTGATTTAAGCTGACTATCCTTCGGATTTCACCTTCACATACAATCCTCAGTTCATCGATTCAACCATACACTCGGAAGCACTAGACTCGAGTTTTCCTCGCATTAAAGCTCATCAGTACTGTATATCCACCGTTCCGTTCGGGATTTGCTGTCCTAACCCATCACATGAAAGGCGTGTGTGTTACCACTGTGCCAACCATCCGAGTATATGGTTGGATCGATGAACTGAGGATTGTGTGAAGGTCAAGTCCGAAGGATAGTCAACTCAAATCAGTCAATATCAATTATCGCACACCACTACTCACAAGTAACTGTAAGTTAAATGCGAATGTAATCTTTTCTTGTTCCATTCTTGTTCATTCGATTTCTACAGGAACTTAGCCCTAACTAATATCTTCATGGGTCTCAGTTGTAAATGTCGCTTCTTGAGACTAACGGTCTGTCTCCAGGCCAGTAGTAGGTAGACAAAAGGATTTGACACCCATGGGTTTTTGGATACCCTCTTGTCCCACATATACGATCAGTGCCACTTTTGAAAATTTGGACAGTAACCGAACGATTAGCTTACATACGAAATTACATCAAATTATCTTTCATGTTGACGAAACACCGGAAAAAAACAATTTTCACCGCAATAAACGTACTGCATTATCTTCATGGAATTCACCCACCAAAATTCATTCGAAAAAGGGAGCGCTAGACTTCCGGAGATTGTACTTCAGCTCGGATACTGGCATCCGTGGTGAGTCCGTGGTGGACCGGCTGGTGTACGATACAGTTATGTGACAACCTAATGACAGTTATCATATCCTCACGCCACTCTCAGTGACCTTGAATACATGAAGTATATATATATATAAATATATATATATATATATATATAACACCGTCTTGAGAACAATCATGGTGCCAACGCCACAACAATATTACCAATAACAGTAACAGGAAGGAGTTAAGATACAGAGTATAGGAAGAGAGACGCAACTTTCAAAATGGGAGATTACGAAAAAATGAAATAACAATTATTTCGTGTTTCACCATACACTTTTTGATATTTTTCGTGTATTTTTTTGTTTTATGGAGCGCGGGAGTTCGACAGCATTCGCGTCATTGACTTCTATTCTGGGTCGTATCTCTCAGCGTCTCTAGCCAACAACACTTCTCATCCCTTGGGTTCCGACCTGGAAGGCGGGCTGCACCAACCGAAGCCAAAGTTAAAGCTGGCTTCTTTATACCTGTACACCGCGAAGCTTCTTTCAGTCCTGCCCGGCACGTGCAAAGAGAACACGGAAACGTAATCGATGGGTAGGTATACACTATACATGGCCGGACCATCTGAGGTGGTGTAGAGCGATTACTTATGCTAGGGAATGACTCTCCACACCCAACATACGACGCCCAACCTCGTCATTGCTCACCCAATGTTCCCACCAGACCCGAGCAATGCTTCGGGGACATCGGTGGTCGAATACGGAAAGTCAATAGGCATCCTCAACGCGGAGGCCAGGTCTCGCAATCGTAAGGCAGAACACTACAAACTACGACCGTGTACACCCTACCCTTAAGGGACAGTCGGATGTCATGGCGGTGCCAAAGGTGTCGTTGTTGGCTAAAGCTGCTCTTGCTTTCGCTATTCGTGATGTGATCTCGGCCCCAACAACACCAACACCTGCAATCAAGCCTCTGAGGTACTTAAAGCTCTCAACTGTTTCCAGTTGACCACCACCGCCCACCCTTTCCCGTTCTTTGTGTTACTGTGTCGTGTGTTGTGCGTTGTGATTGGCAATCATGTCTTCATTTCACGGTAGTTATCTCACTGACTATGTAAAAATCACTGACTGCAGTATGCACGTGTACAGATGCAGCGAAATGACCATGGATACATTGTGCAAACCCATGTTTCTGACTTCTTTATTTAAATGTAAGTGGTTTCAGTAACGAGAACAGACAGGGTGGGGGAATACGATTTCACGCAGTGCTTTTAGGACGATAAAGGAACTTGTCCTGAATGTAGACCATTAAAAACGACTCGTTTATTTTCGTTGGAATAATCACGGTATCTAAAACTTTTATTTTATACTTGTTTTTGGATTCAAATGACGTTTAGTCAATAGAGATGGGGCTTTTGAATTCGGTTATGGAATTTTCATTGCTATCACAGGTTTGGAGATTTTATCTTGCAGCAAATATGCCCTCTGTAATTCCAGTTGTCCGGATAACATTTCAAAATATCCGCATCTATTTCAGGTTTTCAGGGCATAATTTCAGGTTGTCTGAGCGTCATTTCAAGCTGTCTCTTTGGCCTCACCGGTGCCGACAGTGCTGTTCAAGCCTCCTAGCTATGTCGAACAGACTGGATCGTCAACACTGATGGGCATATCGACCGAGTACAACCGATTGGTGTCTCGGTGCAGCCCCTTGAGGTATAGCATATGGAATGGATTGCAGCAGCATTCTACGGGGTAGGTCGCGGCTCAAGGGTTGATCATGTATGATTCATTGGTATCAGCAAGGCATGGCCCGATATGAATTTTCAGAGGGAGGGGGATGAACAGACACACGCACTGAGACACGGGTGTCATGGGAATTGGGGCGTGTGACCGAGGCACAAAATCCTTCCCTTCCTCTCCTACCCCCGGGTTTCGACGGGATGCAGAGAAATCTGTGCGGGCGTGGTGGTCATCCCGACATCGCTGGGAGGCTTGAAAAGTACATGGGAGTGTCGGCGTCAATGTGGCCAACGCGACAGTTTGAAATTATGCCCAGACAACTTGAAATAGACCTGAGATTTTGAAATGTTATCCGGACAACTTGAATTGCAAAAGCTATGGTTAAATTCTGCTGTCTAGCCAAACGTTCACCGAACCTGCCCCAGGGATCCCAGTTAAAAGGCAGTAGCAATCAGCGCAATACCTTGGTGGTAGTACTGGTGAAACGTCCTTTCAGCAAGGGAGAAACGTACGGTATATATGGGCCTGAACATATTCTATAGCGTTTGCAATGCAATTTATCCAAATATCCTTTCAAGACATTCGGGTAGTATTGGACGTTGTGTGAGCATCATTTCAAATCATTGTTATTTGTCTGGAATCGGGATTACGAGGGCGCCAGTAGAGAAGATGTACAATTCAGGTTGCTGTTCTCTGTCCGTTACCCTGGCAACAACGCTTCCGTTACCCTCGAGAAAACGTCTCCACTTTGCCACGATGATGGCTGATTCCCACTCATTTCAAATTCATACTGTGTAGAATTATTCGGAGTTCAGGCTCTGCATGACATGCTTTGTATTTGGGTCCTATTTCGCGAGTTAGGTCATATACCGGTGCATCAGGAGCTCTTTGGCACAACTGCAGACAACTAGTAGTTAAAAATTACAGATCATTAGCGTGGATTATCACGTAAATTGAAACAAGCGCTGGTACACAAGCGCATCCGCAAACAGTCTCTTTCCTATCCATGCACGCGTATGCGTTGATTCCAGCGCAGATAGCGGTGAGAGGTTCTGGGAGCAGCCTAGCTCACGCGGTTGACACAGTTATTCAATACTGGATGACGTTTAAACAACGGTACACACTGGTTCCCTTTGAGTTGAGGCCGGAATTCATAGCCGTCCTTTTTGTAATCTACTGCTACGATAGTGCCCATAAGCACACTCGCTTGAATGCACCGACAGACTGACCAGCGAAATTTCCTTTATGATCATATCGTTGCCCCTTCTCGGGTAGGATCACCCATGGCGCCCGATTGATCGTGTAACTCAACTGTCAAATGAGTTGGTCTGGTCGATTGATGTGACATCTAAAGTTGCCGTCAGAAACAAGCAAACTAATTCTTTAAGTTTAATTGCACTGGGATTACAGTTTACGTGTAATTTCTTCTGCGGCTTGTCACCGAACGAAATTAGTTGTGATTAGACGATCTTCATATGGTACTTTCAGATCTGAAAGCGACTCGCATGAAACGCTAGTCGAATTCATTATCAAGTTGCAACGTATGATCGTCTTTGTGACTCAATTCTGGCGGATGCTTCGAATTCTTTTCATTCGACGCTCGAATTTCATATATACCTCTCATTACACCACAGCGTTTGAAAGCTCCATTTTGTCTTACCCATCTCGTATACTAATCTGCACGGACGATTGTTTGAATAAATCAAGTAGAATCTCATGCTTGTATGACTACTTCGTGTTAACTAGGTGAGAGCTAAAAAGCTTGAAATGGTATTGATCAAGGTATTGATTGGAGGCGCATTTACTGCGCGCCATTCGTCTTGTTTCCTAATCCTCTCCAGAGGAGGAAAATCCCAATCAAAATTGAATGTCAAGCCATCACCGCCACAACTCGATGATAAGCCCTCCCGTCGCACCTCTATTCCGGTTGCAATGATCAGATGTTGATGGCGTTATTTTCACAATGGATTTGCGTACACACCTGAAAGAACCACATTAGTAAATGACTGAATTGCGTGAGCCACAACCGGAGTGCACTATTGCGCGTACGTGCACGCACTGTTGGGAGGTGGCCGCAATTCGTTCCATTCCCTCGACGTGTCCTCCATACGATGGAAAACGGAATGCTTCTGATCCACACATTAATGGGCTGAATTTCTACACCTTTTTCAGTTTAAGATGTCCGGAATCCAATTTAAGATGTCCGAGTATCCATTTAAGATGTCATGTTACTATGTGGATAGTACCTTGCACAGTACAGATTGAAAACATGACATCTTAAATTGATACTCGGACATCTTAAATTGGATTCCGGACATCTTAAACTGAAAAAGGTATAGAATTGGTTTTCACATAAGCCGTTAACTACAATCTGAGGTCATTCGGTTCATTTTGCGATGACACGATAAACATTCGAAGAGGAGATATGATTAATTTTATGTAAGCGAGGTCGGCTCAGTGCTGCCCAGTGAAGTTCTGAATTAATTAGTCTTTAAAGGCTGTATATGAAATGGGAATCCGATTATATTGAAATTGTGATCTGATGACCTCGGGTAGGTGGAGAATCAATTTCCATTCTGCTCATCATAGGTAGTGAATTTTTATTGGAATGTAAGCATGTCCTAGTGCATATTCTTTGTTACCAGAGCCGCTTTCTTTCGGACCAGCAGCACACATTTTGCTCAAAAGCTACTCCGTCTCATTTCAGCTGCTCCATTCGTCCAGATCAATCCGACATCCTGCACAAGAGGAATGCCAACTATACTTCAGTATACTTCACTCTACACACATTGAATCTAATCGAATGTCGCAGCCAGTCGGAATGAATTTCATGCACCAACAACACCAACATCCAAAACATGGCAGAAAAGTTTAACGGAAGAGTAACTAAAGACTGTTAAAAGCGAAAATGAGAATGGAACAGATGAGAAGCACTAGCCAATCCAGGTTTGTGATGCACTCGGTGGTAAGAATGTGTTTAATTGAGAGATATAAGGTGCACGCTTTGAATACAACGAGCACTAATAAGAGACATCAGAACTGTATTATTCCAAATGGAGTCTGATTAATGTTCTCCTAACCACAGAGCAATCGTTTTAATGCTAATTGTTCTGCTTTCGGCAACATCAAGCTAACAGTAAGCCCCCGATAACCGAAAAGAAAATCCAATCCCTTTTTCTATTTGTTTCGGTAGGCTCTAAAGTTCTTCAATCTTATCCACTGACAGTGTTCAAATAAAGTAACCAATTCGTTTAGTACCATAGTTTTCTTCTAAACGGTTCATGCTTTTTCAATTCACCGATGTAAAAGATATTTATCAAGCGATTTTCATGTCCTTTTAGGTTCCATTGTTGTTGGAAACGCTTATGCAGATCTGACACTCATCCGGGAGTTGCATGGAATACTACGTGTATTTTTACAATTGAACGAGGCGCACAACAGGTTTCGATCGATGGTCTCTAGTTACAAAGTTTCAAATAGATTTCTCCGATGTATATGTTATGTCCGGAAGTGAAAAAGTGTTTGAAAATGGTAGTAGAACAGAGTATGGAGATAAGTATAACTGTAATAGCAAATATAATGATACAAATAGCTGTAACAAACCTAATCGCATGGTGAATTCGTTGGACACACTGTATGAGTAGATTACAATTCCAAAATGCAGCCTTATCTATAACGCTGTTCTAATTTTCAACCCATGTTTAGGCGGGGAACAAAGGACCAAAAAGTATGTTTCCAGAAGTATTTTAGAGTGATCCGTTGACTTCGTTCAAGTACCATATACACATATATTCTCCTCGTGTGGTGCCTACCGAATGAGTAACAGCTGAATAGCGTCTCCATAGAGAACTAAATACATTAAATCAACTTGTGAAAAATAAACAGCACTAACACTTACCGGTTCTGGAGCCCACAAAGATATCCAAACAATAGATCAAATCTATCACATAATCGAAAAACATCCATGTGATAAAACTAAGCTCATGAAACTGTGTGAATGCCGACCGTAGTGGCAGGACGATGGCATTGTACAGAACTGTGGCTGACACAATGCCAATCCAATAGTAGTAGGCTGACTGAGAGCTATCCACAACAAGTGTGCTGGCATACCTGTAATTTGAACAAGAAAGATGAAGTCACGTGATAGTCGTACAGCGGACTACAGTTATATAGATCTAATACAGTATCGTTTTCAAATATACGCTAAAAGTATACAAGGCTACAAATTCCGATGACTTCTGAGTCGGTTCCAAGTCCGATATTTCTAGTTTACCTATCTCCAATCGCCCTTATTTTCCTCCATGGGTTCCTCGTCTTCCTTCGTCGTCTCTCGTCCTCTCAATGTGAACCACCCTGTATTTGCTTTATCCCTTTAACTACGGTAACTTCTCATATGGACATACCTTTTTGAAATCTATAGTGATTCTGTTTCTTGAGAAGATGTCTCTGTTATCGTAAAACTGGTTTGATTCACTTCACGCATGCTTCGGTTCTACCTCGGTTTCCTGCACTGTTACCCTGTAATTGTGACTGCTTTGTGTCTCGAGGATCACTGAGTCATTTGCAGATCCGTAAAATCAATCATACACTAGCCAGTGGAATCCCGCTAAGGAATTTGGTAAAAGGTAATTACAAAATACTTCAGTTTGTGCAAACGTTTCTGTCGCATTTTTGGATCTCAGCCTCCTAGATAAAGTCAGCTAAGGAACTATTCGTCACAGCTTCAAAACAGTAGTACAGAGGCCAACAGTTTCAACAAATAGGAGGCCATGTGGTTCAAACAAGAGTCTTATGACTCAAGGGAGACGAACGATGATTGGTCGATGACTATTTAGCCATTCATATTTTTATTTGATAATTATTTAATCCCATTGATTTCTTTCAATAAATGAACCACCAATTTCACCGCCTTGTTCCTACATCTCTTTGACCGTATACTCCGGCAGACGACCACTAGTGTGATTTGATGTTTCAATTGTGATTGTGTCTGCTGATCGGTGATTCATGTCTAGTTCGAGCAGTACAGTTTTTTCCGATAGTATTCACCCAGTCAATCCATCGTTGAACGAGTTTCTGTCCACTAGGGTAACAGGGGACACGTACAATGTATTACATGCTGTCACAACTGCATATTGTCATTCTGTCAATACTCATTTAACGAAATAGTTTGGTATCATACTTCATAAAAACGCCAAGGTTACGAGAGCGGTCATTCTACCAGAAAGATTTCCTTCTTAAACCTATCTATCTTGTTCTGTTTTTCAGTTGTTTGTCCATTTACCATTGCATTTGATCACGAAATATTCAATCGAGTACTGCTCTTTTGCAGTGGATAAAGTAAACACTTGAGTTGGTCACAAACCATATGAAATGCGATCACCCAAACCGGAAAGTGCCACAAATCAAAGAAAACAATCTCTTCCCCACTTTCATACGTTTGACCTAATGGCTTAAGAATAATCTAAAAGTTCAACAATTTGGAATTCAACAGAATAAAACCATAATAATCGTTAAATGTTTTGGAAGCAACGGACAACAGATAATTTATTCTCTGGATTTGTTGAATTGAATATCATACTTACTGATACCCTCGTTTCCATAGTGGCAATGGGGGTGTTTTATTCGCTTCCTCGTTGGCTTTGTTTTCTGAATTTTGTTGATTGTCACCGGCTAGTTTTTTGTCAAACAGTGCGTCCGCCTCGGTAGACTCCAAATGGCCACGTCGGCGATTTTTCAAGCAAGCACAAAGAACCTGTTGGAGATGCATGCATAATAGCGGAATATCACGGAACGGATATCTAAACAACTGACAAGCTCGCTTCCCTAGGTTTTTTGTTTCGTTCTTAGGATACACGTATTCCCACTAGGTAATCAAAACGCCTGCACCAATATCATGCAATTTTAGTCCCACTGATTTGGCTCCATCGGATCAACCATGCGTCGAAATAGTGTTCGTATCACTTGATACAGGTCTGAACGTGATCAGAAAAAATTCAATGATCAACTGTGCCTCGTGAACAATTTCTTCTCATTTTAATTTTTAACCTCCCCCCTCTCCCCTCCTTTCGCTCTTTTCCCGTTTCAAGTGTGTCTGAGTCGATTTGGCTGAGAAATTTCATACGCATTTCACTAATCTCTCACCTCAATCCTCGTCAGTGCAACGAATACAATTCCGTAATCTGCTCCTCTCAAGCAAGCACTGAATACAGAACCGTTAAATGCTGAACTGTGATATATATTTGGTAAGGATACCCGTGAAAATTGGCGAAATAATTTAAAGAGAAAAGTTTAATTGAATAAATTCCCATAATTTGTTATATATTACATTTATTAGTGTACACTATGATTATTATTTATTATTATAAATACAGTGATCCGGTTCGTCTAAAAGTAATTTACTAAGAACGGTGACTCCCTTCGAAGGAATCTTTGTCCCTGACAATTGATTTTATCAGTCATATCCCCTTATCTGAGCATGGAAAGAGGGTTGTAAGCTTATACGCTGAGGGGAAACGTCGTTGAGTTGTGTACTAAAGTCAGCACGTAAACCATCTTCGTGCGACAGATATCCAATGCTACACTTGGAAAAGTCGTTGCGATCATGTTGGGTCATGCAGGCCTTTTACGGTGAGCTCGTGGATTGGTTCAACAAATAGTGCCACTGAACGGTTAGCAATTCTTCTCATGTTGTGCGTCACTGTGTGTGCTCAGTTGTTCAGGACCGCCATCAACGCCTGTGGTGGTGGTGGCTGTTGCAAATCCTCCATCAGCTTTTAACCTCATCATTATGAAGACGGCAAGGAACACTCAGCTTTCACAACATGCCGATGAACTATCACTTTTTCAATTTAAGACGTCCGAATATCAATTTAAGATATCACAGCATTAAATTAAGATGTCCGAATGTCAGCTGCCGTAAATCCCGTTGAGACGGTCTATGAGGAAGAAAGTTGTGGACCTGTACTTCATCTAAAGTATGGAGTAATTGGAACAATAAGTAAGTTTCCATCATTACGAGTGCAACTGAATAGGCTGTCTGGAGAACGCGGACACACCCTGTTGTGAAGGGCAGTGCCCGTGTGAAAACCAGTTGATAGCAAATAACCTTCAGTGGAAACATCAGTCACGGAAAGTGACCACGACTAAGAGATGACTCAATACGAAAGTGCCCCGGTGAGGTGTAGTACTCGAAATAAGAATCGAATTCTAATAGCGCGAACTCGGAATCGGACTGAAAACCCACTGAACAGCGCAAAGTCAGATAGAATCAAGACGAGCTGTGGATATAGTTAATTCTATCCAGAAAATCATGCAAATATATATCACAAGCAACAAACAATCATTGGTCGACTCTTCACTTTCTAATCGACAACGATATGGTTTATTTGTTTGCCCCTCTAGCATTCAGCCATTCCGGTTGGTGCCAACTGAGAGCACAGGATTGGTCGGTTAATCAGTTTCTTGGTTGGTTACCTAGAAGCAGTACCGTGGTGCGTGCGTACTCGTTGCACGATCACCACAGAAGAGTGCCAATGAAGCTGCAATAAATATCTGTACGAGAACGGTGCGTACCGGAGCTAACAGTGTAAACAACAATTATTATTCGATTACGAACTGATCAAACAAAATCGGTAATACGGTTTTCTTTTAATATTTTTTGTTATCCGTGACAGGTATCAATAACTTCACAGGAAAGAAGGGAAATGAATGAAGGCTCACAACTTTTATTCATTTTTAACCATGTTTATACTATCTTCGGTCCCACCCAAAAGGGACCAAACCTTTCTGATCCTAACAATGTGCATTCTAGGGAGGGATATTTAATTATTAAGTACAATACAGTAGACACAATCTGCAGGATCCGGTATGTATCCAGCCAAAGGCTGCACGGTGAAATACAGATTCGGTTAACATGGGTGGTGATAATGGAATTCAAAGTTACGTTCTCTCCGTCGCTGCTACGAAAAATTTAACCATTTGAATCCCGTTGCCCTGTCGTTTGATCACACTTGTCAGCGTATCAAATGCCATTTAAAAGAAAAAATTGCTCACCCGGGATTGCGACTAAATTGGGCTTTAAATCACCGCTTACATGTAGTTTATTTAGGAATAGACACATTTGAGGTAGCTCATTCGAGAATCTAATTTATTTGTTAGGATGAAACAAATTTTCTTCAGTTTTTTTTTACAATGTCGTTTGCATCGATCGTTGCACACGAAATTCAAACTGAACATATCACGTAAATACACAAGTACAGAGATATCGAGTAAACTTAATTCAAACAATTTGTTACACGGAATCATGTGCTACTTTCTTGGTTATCATATCGAACAGAATAAATAAATTCGTCGGTAGAGGGTACAATATTGCTCAGTATTGACGTGAAACGAACTATTTAGCGAGATCCGTTCTATACCCCGATGCGAAGCCATGAAAAGTTCTCATCCTCAGTAGACTTCAGTTCCCCACAGTTGCTCACTTGATGGATTTCCACTGCTGAGGGCTCCATAAAATAATCATTCAGACATTTCGTTTTCTTAAATTTTTTCTGGTTTGCGCATTAAACGGAAAACTTTCACAGTGAAAAAGGGGTCATAATGGGATCTTCACTAGACCCACTTTCTGGCCGGGAGTCAAAACCATTAACATTGAGATATGAAGTCGAAGCCAAAACACTTGAGCTCAAAACTATATGGGTTCGTAATGTCTTTCTATTTTGTTCCGTACGAATGAGCCGACACAGATCTAATTCTTACCAGAACAATAAACATATGGACTCTAACTGAACGGACCGAATACCAATCATAAAAACACCAGGTTACACTGCGATGATATAAATGAATCCATCTGAGGATTCAAGATAGAATATCCTTCCATCACCACTCCATTCATATTTCTACTTTCAGAGTCCGTAATGCTACATTTGTAACACAACTGTGGGTACTTTTATCATATGAATTCGTTTCTAGGTTCTCAGCCTTCTGAACGCTAGATTTCTCAAAGTTTTCATTGCAGTTTCTTTGTTGTTGTACGCTTGATTCACTCGATCACCTCCATCCTCATACGAATGCAGCAGCAAGAAGTAATGGGTTTAGTCGATGTGACACAATAAGTTTACAGCAATCCAAAGACTTGAAAAATTTCGGTGTTCATCTCTGGTTCTCGTATCTTACCTTGAGCAATTTGAACTCGTGCATTTTTGGCCAGATCTTACCTGTGGATTACAGTTTATGTTAAAAGCATCCTGCACATATCATTCTTGAAAGTAGAGGGAAGTACGCTAAATTCCATGTCGTTGATAAACGAAAGTACGTGTAAAGGTGTTGTGAGATACTACTCACTTGTGAGTAGTAGGTAACATTGTTGGTGATTTGTATCGACAATCAAAAATTAACCAGAACACCGAGGGTAAATTGCTGAGTTTAAAGAATAATTATCGATTGCTGCATTCACTACTGGTTGTACGGCCAAGAACTGCGATGTTATGTTTTTGATTAGATTTTTGTGTTATGTATACCAAATAATTGATGTATCATCTGAAATCCTCAGCAAACAACGATTCTCGATTACCACCACCTTTGGAATTATAACTAAGGTAGTGAGCCAGAACAGATCACACACACACGGGATGCAGTGGTGTACAGGTGAAACACTTATCAATTACCGTGCGTCTTAGAAATGCAATCATTGAACATAAGACTGAACTTAGGTCGGAAAATATGCATCCAAATCACTTAAATAAACCAATGTTTTTTTACTTCCTTTTTCTATTTATTGAATATACAATTGCACAGCCAACTTTCAGGAAGGAGGCTGCGGCCATACAAAGGCTGCCTGGGGAAAATACAGATATAAGGAAGACGGGCGGCGGCGGAGTGGTTTGAACCCGAGAAACATAGGTCACTAGTTGGTGACCTAAACACTTGGCCACCAGCGCAACCAGCCCGCGAGAATAAAGCGATGAATTCAAAAGACATCCAGGTCCTACCATTGCATTTCCCAAAGGAAATAGCAAAACGATCAACTTGATTAAAACAGAGGTATACAATAAACAATTCTTCGTCGAATTGGTTTGTGTTGCTTGATGATTGAACTATGCAGGTTGCCAAAACAGGCATTACTTCAAACCTCATGCGCTACAATCCCACTCCAATCCAGCGAACACTGGCTTCCCTTCACAAATTACACAAATAAAAATACATCCTTTCTGTTGTGTGGTCCAATACATTTGTGGGATAACTCTTGATACCATTGCTCACACTGGAAGCGCAACATCAATGCACGATGTACACATTCAGACGCACACACAGACATAGAAATATATACGCTCACTACACGGACGTCCTTCACATGCCACCTTGATTACAATGACCAATCTGACTGCACCACGTGTCTACTTGTTATTGATTGGCTTACTGCTGATGACTTGTAGCTGTAGTACCGGCTGATGAGATGTTTCTGTCATTGTACATGAATTACGATGCTATTGGTTTGTGCCTAATTAAAAGGATTTACTTCTGTGCATATTACGAGTTCTATTGAATACAACACTTTCCATGCGCAGTTTATGCTCATTCCAGGGTATTTTTAATGGTGGTAGTTTATCTTCACACTTTCTTCACTGTATTAAGCAGAAAATGAAACCATTCTGTAAGCACATATTGTGATCTATTTACTGTTTACTTCAATATTTGATGTGATGTTCGCTGCACTGTCTGCATCTTTGATGCGCTGTACACAATCATCCAATGGGGCAGGTATTCTAG